CCTATTGCACTTTGGCAGCATTTTGTAACTTTTCAGAAAAGTGGATGAAAACTGCGCCTTCCTCTTTGTTAGCCCACTTGGTTAGCACACGCCCACGTGCGTTCAATACATGAAAAGTAACAGTGACTAGCGCAGGTTGTCACCAGGCGCAGAGGCATGCTCCGCACGAGAGGGGCCCCATCCCCAAGGGCAGATGTCTTATGAGACATCATGGAACTTAAGCTCTTTTGAGAACACATCAGTGCCATTGAGCAGTGGGAGTCCGTGGCTTCTAAACAGTCATCTATTTCCACAGCCTTGGTGAGGCAGAATCAGAAGCACTCAAAAGTCAAATTTCTAAGTAGTACCAAGTTGTCTTTGGCTGTTGATAGGAGCACAGTGAAACGAATACTGGCCCTATTTTAGGGAAGAAAACCAAAACTTATTAAGTTTTGTGCTTGATAAATGGAGCTCAGTGCCGGTCCCAAACACATGGTGCTGAGGGGCTTCCTCCGCTCTCACACTGAACTGCCCTGGATTCACCCTGGATCGCTGGACACGTGGCCTTCACATAATTCATTCGGCCAAAAAATGGCAGGCCCCAATAATATATCTGAAGGGAAAAGCTTTAAGAAGACAAATTTTCTCCCTACCAAATGGGTGATTCTTCATTTTTAAAACATTTTTTGGACTGTCAATGTGATCTATTAGTCATTTCTATCCTTTCGTTTTCCTACTCCTCTCTTCTAAAAGTGATACACCATTCCTTTATTAAGAATAATTCAAGTCTATTAAAGTAAAATGTACTTGCTGTCTTCTGTCTAGAGAACTCCTCAAACCTCGTGGCGCATGAAACTCAACAGAGAAGCGTGTTGGCGGTGTAGAACCCCCAACCCACACCCAGACGCACAGTAGCAGGAAATGTGTGGTTTTCATCCTGAGTTTTCCAGGGAATCCTAATGCAAATGTTCTAACCTCCTCCAGCGTACTTTGAAAAACACTTTCCAGCTGGGCTTACTAAGGTGGGTTTCACTGGATCTACAACAATGTAAGGAGCTGCCCAGCCCCGTGAGATGTCGACCTCAGTATGTAGATATGCACACCACGGAAACAGACAGATACAAAGTAGAGACGTGATTTGCTGGTTCACCAGTACCTCTGAGAGGGTACAGTCAACAGTCTCGCCAGGACAACAGGAGTGAACCAGGGCTGGCCAGAACGTCTGGTGGTCCTATTGGTTGAACACTTTTCTCATGACCTCACTGTTACCCTCCTTATGACAAACAGAGGAACACATCTCTCTCCAGACTCAGGATTAACAGCTTGGCCATCTTTTCTACACTAGCTTTCTTTTTAACCGATGGACGCAGCATTATGTAATTGGACGCAGAATTACCTAATTGCGGCAGCACTTCGCACTGCCTGCTGCACCCTGGGGCCAAATAACACCCACCGTTTGCAATTCTGCAGTATTTAAAAGTTTGCAATTTTTTAAAAAAACACATATGTGTGTGCATATATATGTAAACCTCACTCCTGGCTTCACTGTCTCTGTTAAATTCTTACTTTAGTCCATTTTCCACATCTATTTATTTTTAAACTTAATTCTACCTTGCTCCTTTGTATATATTTATGTGAGCTTCCTTAAATCTGTCCTGAAATAGGAGGCAGTGTAAACATCTCAAATGAAGGTGTACATTTATTCATTAGAGATATTTTGTGGGTTTCTTTAGGGCTCTTGAGTTAACTCTAGATAGTGAGTCTCAAAACCAGGGTTGAGGGAATCACTTCTCAAAACTGATTGTAAGTATGAGAACACAATCCGAACACAGACAAAGCCCCCCAGCTCCTCTGTTTTCTCCCTGTCAGGCTAGATCCAGTACAAACTTTCCCATCAGTGTGTATTAGGACCATTTTTATGTCTAGGACACGAACATCTGTGCATAGTTGATGGATGGTGCAAATGTTTATGGATAATTAATGGTTTATGCCATTTTTTTCATTCAGCTATCTTTAGGATTTGCATTTAGTGCCATGCAAGGTGTCTAACTAATAGGAACTGTGTGAACCAGTCAGAACCAGGTCTGGAGAATTCTGTGTACACGGAGCACTCCGTGCTCCAAAGGTGCTGGAATGAGGTGCCTGGTGCTAATGCTGAGGGGACAGGCGCAGCAGCTGATACAGCTGCCCGAGGTCCTGTAACCCCGTGGCCACACTGGAGAATTGTCCACATTGTGCAATGAAGCTGTGTGTGTTCATTTATGGGTGGGTGTATGAGCACACGTACGCGAAGCTTGACCAATAACTGAAAGACTCGCAACTTGCAAAATCAGCCACAACTAGTCTCTTACAAACACTATTAACTGAATAACTGCCTGCACTGGCGTGAAGCAACTGGAGGAGGGACCAGCAAAGAGTCCTCTCCTCACAAGGGAAGACCAGCCTGAACACCAGAGCTTAGCAGGAGCCAGTCTGCACAACCACCTTCCGTCGGTTCCCCCACGTCCAATGAGCACCCACTGCATAAGAGAAATGTAGATGCTCTGACCTGGTGAAATTGCTTTTTGCCTCTTCCCCACATAAATGCCTCTCTTCCTTTCTAAATACTTTCCTTAATGCAGAAAAACTCAACTCTGGCCCTGCCGAAAGGATACTGATGACATCAAAGCATGCTGATAGCATCTCAGAAACACAACCTCACCACTTAGAAGATGGTACCAGGCAATATCGCCTACATCTGTGATTCTACGAGGAACCAACAAAAGAGTCTTCAGTGAAGGCCTCTGCTCTGTTGCTCTCATCTTAGGGAACTAAAAACTTTGTTTTGCCTTCATGGAAGAAATTACATTCTTAAGGACGAAGGCAAAGGGGGAGATGGGCTTGGGGGGCTTCCTTTGGGTTTCTTCTAAATACTCCATCCTGTTCATGTCCAGCCAGTGTCTTGGGCAACAGCATCCTTGTCCTCCCCATCTCCCTGTGCGGACTGAGCTTCTCTGAGGGACCACACGTCGAGAATGGGCATCTGGGACATTGGCATTTCCACTTTTTCCATCTAATGGGAACTTCCTCCTGTTCTAAGGCACAGTGGCAAGTGCGGTGGCCTCAGCATACAGCTCAGTTGCCACACTCAAGCCAAGTGTGTGGCCTCTGTGTTTGGCCAACTGCCTTTCCACGAATATCAACTATAGTTTTGTGCCCCTCCCAAGGCACACATGGGACTTGACCATCACCGTCCTGTAAAAGTCTCACAAGGTGCTTCGGGGCCAGGCACAAGCCCAAAGGACGACCCCTTTCACACCTGACTGTGTCACATCAGCTTCACGTGTTTGCTGGAAGCTACACAGTGACAAATCTGAGCTGCGATCCCGTATAAGAATCCAGGTCGGATGTTTTGCCAAGTCGTCTACACTCTGAACGCTCCTGTTCGGAAGCTGACTGGATCTACCAGACGGGATCTCCCGCAGGGCAGAGGGGCAGTCACCCCATCACACTTCACAGAATGAATCCAGAGGACCCGGGGAGCAAGGGAGGACCGAGTCTGTGCACCTCTTACTACCTTGGGAACGAGGAGCGACTCGTGCGGTGCGGCCCACACGCAGCCCTGCGCTTGGCCGTGCGGAGAGAGCCTCTGCGGGGCTCGTATTCCATGAGGGAGGAAGACAACAAGAAAGCCTTTACGTGAATACAATACAAAGACGGATGGGGATGGATGAAATAAAGGAAAACAAGGCAGATGGGAGATCAGGGGTCACAGGGAAGGGAGGGGAGGACTTCCAGGTGAGGGTGCTCGGGAAAGGCCTGAGCCTTGACGAAGGACAGAGACGTGCAGATGCCTGGAAGCTGAGGGGACAGCCAGTTCAGATCCCTAGGCAGGACACAGGCTGACCGGATGGCTGCAGTGAGTGGGGAGGGGACCCAGAGCCCACCGTCAGGATCTGAGGTTTAATCCGGCAGGGAGAGGACAGCAGGGCAGTGCTGTCTGGGTTCTAACGCAGACGCCCTGGGAGGAGTCCGCTGGCCTCCCTGAGCTTCATTTCCCTCCTCAGGGAAATCACGACAAGGTTACCTATCCCCAGAGATCGCGTGAGAAAATGTGCCTCAATTGTTCACCAAATGCCCAGTGTAAAGCAAGGGTTTGCTGAGTGCTGCCGCGGCTGCCGTGTTACATTCGGTTTTACGCCACGTGTCTCCTCTGAGGCGCTTCAACTCTCTCCTTCTGTCATCTGCAGCTTTGCTCAATACCTATGTTCTCGGCATTCCCTCAAATTCGAGAGACCCATTCCTCTGGGTTGGGTTTGAATTACCTCTGCAGTAAAGACTGACTCTGGTCATTAGGGATTGTGTTCCAGGCCAGTGATAGCTGGAATTTTAGATTTTTAAGAACATATGAGAGAACGATACACGGCTCCCAACTTTTTATTTTGCCAGATAAAAAAAGTTTACAAAACAAGCCTGCCCTCTGTTATAAATAGCATTTCAATTGCATAAAGAACAGGATATTTAAAACCAAATAATCTCAGAGAAAGACAGTGCCTTCCCAGAAAGGTCACCTTGCATAGACACACACACGCATCTGTGCACGCACACGTGTGTGCACACAAGCAGGGTGACTCTGTCCTCTCTCCATCTCCCTCTGTCTCCTTCTGTCTTCTTCTCTTTCTCTCTACATATACATGTGTGTGTTTATATTTTTTCTTATTTGGCAAAACAGAGAGTTGGGAGCCATATATTGCGCTCTCACGTGTTCTTAAAATCTAGTACATGCGTGTGTCCGTGTGTGTGCGTGTGTATTTGCCCTCGTTTTTCCCTTTACTGGAGATCGGTGGACATGACACCAAGTGTGGACAAACTTCTGCCAGCTCCCACACACAATCAGTGCTCCGGACAGCTGAGGTGTGACAATGTCATGGTGGGAGGAGCTGAGGTGTGACAACGCCACGGCGGGAGGAGTGACACCGAGTCCGCACTTCGGGGAAGGTGTGCTCTGTTAACCGAGCACCGTGCAGCTGTGAACACCTGACCTGCTGGAACGATGACTCTGCGCTCGTTCGTGGTCATGTTTGGGGGTGGCATGTGCTTCTCCTCCATGTAGCTGCCGTAGTTCATCCCCACGGTGTCCGGGCTGCCCACCATCTTCCCGCCTTTGGCCACGCCGCACTCATCGGGGGAGCTCCTGCAGGAGGAGACACGTTCTGCGTTATTACAGGGAGCACAGAGGACATCTGCACAGTCTTCGCAGGACACACAGAGGACCAAGGAGAGAAAGATGGAAGAGACCGAGGAAGAAAGGAGAGAGCAGTGCACAAAGGCCAAGACCGTGCCTGTTACAGTCTGAAGGGTGTGTCCCCCCAACATGCATATGCGGAAGCCCTGATTCCCAGTGGGTGGTGTCAGGAGGTAAGCCGTCTGGGAAGTGATTAGGGTTAGAAGAGGTCACAAGGGTGGAGCCCCCAGGATGGCATTAGTGCCCTCAGAAGAAGAGGAAGGGAGCAGAGCTGGCTCGCTCTCCACCGCGTCAGGGCGTAGCAGGAAGGCGACCAAGCCATCTGCAACCCAAGGACAGAGCCCTCACCAGACACCGACCCAGATGGCACCCTGGTCTTAGCCCTCCAGTCTGCAGAACTGTGTGGAATCAGTTCCTGTTGCTCCGTGGGCTGAGACAGGGCCTGTGCTGGGCAGAAGCGTAGAAACACGCACGCGGGAAGCAAAACTGCCTTCCAGCCCCTTCTGAAACCGTCCTGTCAAAACTCCATCTGGGACAATTGACTAGGAGCACGTGCAGGAACAGCGAGCTGCGGTCCGTTCTCGCCGTGTGGCAGAGGACAGGCTGAATGGGCAGACACTCGCCACTCAGCAGAAATGGCGGTCCTTTCCGGGACCTCAGGGCGAAACCCTCCTGTGGATTGCAAACCCCTGCAGATATGGGCTCTGAAGACTCCGTGTGCCAGGCTTCGGTGCAGGCTGGGAGGGGACTGACACGGGGGGAGGCATCCCCAGAGGACCCCTGGGAAAGGGACGCGAAAGGAACTGTGCTGACCCAGAGAAGTCACAGGGCTGCCGTGAGCATTTGCATAAAGACCAACCTACCTTTCTTGAAAAAGAAAAGAGGGAAAACATTTTTTAAAAAGTAAGATTTGAAAGCTACAGGACATGGGGAAATGCCCAATAGAAAATCCAGCTTAAATATTAATAGAATATAGATGTCGGTGCCTTCTTACATGGCTAACCACAGAGGTATGGTTAACCCAGGGCCATTGTCACTGAGGGGTCTTGATATTCAGGTTGTGTCATTTAAGGTGGGTTTCTGGAAACACCTCTCTAGCTCTATCCAATGCATTTATTTTTCAAATTCTTAGGAATCTGGGCACCTTCGCTCTCCCTGGACTTTACATTTCTATCCCAGTGTTTTAAGGTTTTGGGTTCTACTCCAATAAGCCCTGGTTTGTCTCTGTTGAGCCTTGTTAGTTGGAGCTTTGCAGGGAACTTGTAGGATCAGAGAGTTACAGGCTTGGCATGGACTTGAGCTTCAAGTCTGAGGTGGTCAAAACCATCCAAAGCAGGAGGGCACTCTCTGGGCGGGACAGGGTTGAGATGGGATGGAGAGGTCATCCCACACCCAAAGGCCATACTAGGGGTGTGGACAGGAAGGGCTGACCGAGGGCCTAGCACTCTGGAAAGAACTGGTTCAGCATCTGGGAACTTTGAACTACAGGTCTGTTCTCAGCATCCCTTGCAAATGTGTCTAGAGCCCACAGAGGGGGCTTAGCGTTGACAATGAACAGGGAGCGGTTACTATCTGTGGATGGAGGTTACAGTCAGGGTGGCACAGGACTCAGGCCCTGCCACAGGGCTGGGAATACACAGCCCTGCCCGATGGCATCCTCACAGCTGTACTAACACGAAGGGAATTTTAAAATAATAACAGTCTGAGTTCCCACGGAGTAGATCCTGAATATTTCCACCGCTGCCTACACATGCATTATTTCCTCTTGATGCTATTTTTCCTGGCTTCAAACATTTATCTCTGAAAGACCCATCCTAATATCAAAACACAGAATGTCTTTGCTTGAGACTTAGTTTCCTATTCCTTTGGAAAATTCCACCACTTGAGTGGAGAGCGTATGTTTTGGTGTATTTGTCTCAAGGAGAGAAGTTACTAGGGAAGAGAAGTTAGCGGGATTTGGTGCTTTAGGAAAGAGACTTTAGATGCTACCCAGCTGATTTGAGTAACTCAAGGAGCAACTGCAAAGTATAGGATAACCTTTGTTCAGATGCAATCATTCACTCATCCATCTAGACAGTTTTTATTGTGTGCCTGCTGTATACCAGGCACCATCAATTCTTTATTTTCCAGCAGTGCAGTTAACCTCTGAAAAGTTAAAGATTGAAGCAATGAATAGAATTATAGAAACAAGGCACATTGGTGCTTATGGACCCTTCGGACCAAGACTTTTTTCATTTTCTTTTACTTCTTCATAGTTTAATTTCCATATCTGAAGACGAGAACTCTAGGCATGGATCCCAAGAGCTTTCCCACGGCATGAAAGTAGATCCCTCATCCAATCTGGATATAATGAGCTGTTAAAATGCATTTCGTGAGAGCTTTCCAAAAATATGTGTAAATATTTAAAACAGGGGCATTGTTTAGTAAAGTTACTTTGTTTTCATTTTACAACCACAAAACACAATTCATCTCATTAAGTTTTCCCATCTCAGCTTTCATTGTAGAAAACAGCAATATGAAACCATCAGACCCTGTTTCCAAAACTTGCACCTTTAGGATGATGAAAAAAAGTAGGGTTTTTTTTTCCCACTGTATTTTGTTTTCGCTTCAGAGAACGCAGACTGGAGCCACGGTTTTGGTCATTTTGAACGGTTTTTGTAATAACTCTAAGGGAACTCCAACTCTAAAGAAGGAAGCTGTCGCCCCACAGGGTCTCAAAATGCGGGACCCAAGGCAGGTATTCAGCGAATATGGGTTAAGTGGCTCCAGTTGTTCTAGTCTCACTTTTTAGTCATTTCTCCTTGTTAACTGTCTTGGAAATTTTAACAGCAGAAGAGCAGCGTTCACTGCGGGGGCCCCGTTCTGAGAGCTTAATAATTATCAGTCCTCGCTGCTGTCTGGCGAGGGGCTGCAGGTGCCGGCTCCGCCTGCACTGTACAGAGCTGTGGACTGACCTAGCGCACGGCAGATAAGGGTGTAGAGCGGGGTGGTGGGGGGAGAGCTAGGACTTGAACCTCACCGTCCGTGCTGCCAGCCCCTGCACCGAATGCCTCCAAAAAGTAAAGGCAAGACACCGTGCTTTAAAAGGTCAAATAGATCTTAATTTCAGGAAGGCAGCAAGGACTCCTTGACCCAAACGGTATTCTGGTTTAAAGTGTGCTTTGTGGCATTCATCCCCACGTGCTGTCCTAGGCCCCGGGGACTGCTCATTCCCTGCACAGCAGGTGTTCAGCACAACCAGGACATATATGCACGATGTAAATAAGAAAGAGGGGTGGTTCCTGGAGAAGAAAAGAATTTTTCAGAGGCATCTTTTTGAGCATGGCTTTAGGAAATCTTCTTATGCGTCAGAGAATTGAAAAGTGTTCACTTGAACATCTCACTATACGTACACATTCAGCTCTTTGCTCAGGGGACACGAGAAAAAATCCACACTGTGGAAACCTGCTCCGTGTTTACTGCACGGCAGCTACACCTTCGTCATGCATGCTGAAGCTCACACGTCACCAAGGAGAAGCTTCCCACAAACAGCTTGGTATTCCACCTGCACTAAACACTGTCCAGAATAGGGGACCATATGTTCTCCAAGCTAACATGATGAGGATTTGGACATTCAATATATTGCTTTTAACGTGCACATGGCAAAGAGCATCCCTCTAAACATTGCGTTCTTAGTACTTGCACAGGTGTGTTGCAGCGGTTCATGTGAAAATTCTAAGGTTATTATTAGATGCTTGTCAAGTGGATAATCATTTAATAAATATGAAACATCTGTCTTATTGTTTGGGGCGTAAATTTCTTTATTACAAATAAACATGGTTCAAGACATTGCTCTCGAAGACTCTCTCCTTTGAGGACATACAAAAATCATAGTGTCTTACTTGTATTTTCAAATCCACGTTTTCAGGTTTGGGTTCTATTTGTGACATGCAAAACACTAGTCTTGACAGTTCCACACGATATGCGGCATCAGCGAGAGAGAATGGGAGCTGGGAAGACAGATGTCTTCCTCTGCTCACAGCAGGGGAATTCCATATTGGGGGAGGGGGTGACCAAGAGGGGCAAGCTTGGTCAGGATGAAAAATCCTGAGAAGGAACTGGACGATGGCCGTGGTGCCAAAAGTCAGCCCAAGCACGTCCCAACTCCCTGACAACACCCAGGAGGCCACCTGACTTGAGGATTTCGTCTCTGTAGCAATCTCAGTTTTCCACGGCATCTGGACATAACTGTGGGCACTCCAGGGAATGCATACATAGTGTAGGACGATGCCTCCGACTTCGTGGTGAAAACAATGGAGCCCTGGTGTCCTTCTTCTGATAACTGGGGACATGTGCTCAATTAAACTGTCTTATTGAGCCTCAAATAATAATCACTCTTAAATAACACTTGGAAAAGTAAATTCTGCTAATTTAAAACCATGAGCATTGACTTCTTAAAATACACTGGTATTATAAATGAATGGTAAAAGAACATGGAAAAGAATATTGAATAAACTGGAAATTTTGCTAAATTTAAATTAAGGTGAAGGGAGACATGTTGTCAAGCCCAACTGGATTTTCTCAGGGTCACAGAATTGGGGGGAGGTGGCTGGAAGAAGCCCCAGGCCCAGCCAAAGGCGTGACTGGTGGAAGCCACTTGGATGAACGTGTGTTTACTGTCATTGATAGTTTTCTAGGTAGGGGACTCCACCATTTCCCCTGCAACACTAGAGTTCTATTTGTGTGTATGTGTGGTGGTTTTGAGCATCTTTTATTCCCCTGAGGGTCCTCAAACTATATGAAGCTTGAGATAGATTGTAAAAATGCATGCAAGACAAAATGATGACATAAGCAATTAAGAGAATGCAGACGAGTAGAAAACAAGGGCACAGAAGTGATGAAGGGATAGAGCAGCCCACTGAGTAGACCCAAGAAGATGGAACTGGGGACCAAGACAGAAGCCGGGGCAT